AGAACCTTGGCCTTTGAGCTTGAGGGGATTTTAAACTGCAGGATTGAAGATTATCCAGGCCCATCGTGGTCATACAGCATACAGCAGAACCTCTACTACAGAATGGAGTCAAAACTAATGAGATAAGACCATGGAGGCTAACTTATTGTCTGTAAGACAAAGTAAGAATGAGATCTTTGAAATTAGGATGATATAAAATCAGATCCCACCAATGGTACTTACTATGTAACCACCGCAAAGTTACTGAAGCACTCAAAATTTTTTTGTACTATTGAGACAAACCACCAATGCAACTGTTACTATGAGGAGTAAATGAGCAGCATTTCATATCAGGACCCTAGTCCAGTGACTGACACAAAAGAGGTATCCAGTAAATAAAAAGTTATTTCATTCCTTTTGCCCAATTAAGCAAACACATGTGTAAGAATTATGAATCTGGTCTTCCAGGACACAGAAAATATTTTTTTTCTATTTCCCCAGACCAACATCTAATAATCATCTGTATCTACTATTTCCACATTCTCATGACCCAGATTTGTTTTGTGGTAAATGGACAGAGATTGCTGCCTCAACATATTTTCCTCCACTCTGCAACACCAATGTGACCAGGGTGAATTCCTCTTTGCCACAGTGACTGGTCTGGATGCTTATGTGATTAAAATGATCCAAGTAGGGGGAGGCCCAAAACTGTCTTCTCCTGGTCAGAGGTGGTATTCTACGTAGGCTTGATGCCTGGAACTACTGTATTTGTTTTGTTGCCTTGAAGAAAGTCACTCTTAAAGTAAAATAAGACAGTCCCAGAGTGAAGAAGCCAGTACCCCATTACACTAAAACTAAAACCTGCCCTGGTCTTGTACTTTTAAGTAATGCAAACCAATAGTCTCCTTTATATATAAACCAACACAAATTTTCTACTACCTGTAATCAAGACATTCTAACTTTGCAACTTTTCTACCCACAATCCTAATGCAGATCAGCTATTCCACCAACACTGCTATTGTGAAGAGCACCCAATGGCCTTCCTGTTGGAGAAATCATCCTGCAGTGTTCTTGCTTCTCCATCCTTGCTCAGCCTTTGAAGATTAGATTTTTCATCAAATATGCAAGTGTGTTCAAGCATATTCATTGTAGCACTGGATGTGATAGCAAAATATTGAAGATGATAGCTGACTGATAACTGAATACTGGAAATAATCTACAGCTACACACAAATTTTATTATTTTTCTTTTAAATATCATGTATCTAAAATGTATTTGTATGTTATAAAATTGTTATATTCTTTATAAAATATTTATTTAAATATTCTTTAACATTTTATTTCTTCAATTTGTTTTTTAATGCATAAATTTATGTGTTCAATCACCAATAATTGAGTAAATAAACAACATATTTATTCCACAGACTCCAGGGAAAGGACAGAGCTGGGTCAGGCTGCTGGGGCTCTGGTTGGCCACAATCCCCTTGCAGGGTTGGAGGAATGCCTGAGTCTGGTCCAGGAAGCAACTCTCAGATTGAAAATAACCAACAGAAAAACTCTTCCTAAAGATTTGGCTGAGTGGAACAGACTTCAAAGCCATGGCACTTTTTGAGTTCATTTTAACATGAGACGCTAAATATGAAACAGCCGTTTGAGCTTTGGAAGGCCATCTGCAAAACCCAGCTTGAGTGATATAACTGGCTAAAGGCATCCTGAAGAAAAACTAAAGCAACCATAGCAGGAGTTTGCACACAGGGACAGAGGAGTAGCAACCCAGGGGTAAGAGATTGCTTCTCAAATCCAGGACCTCAAGCAAAGCCAACAGCCTAGTATTGCCTAGCTGAGATCAGTAGTGGTAGACTTAACAACCAACTTGGTTTTTCTAAAAACAAAAGGTGAACTAGTGAACTAGCACAGACTCAAGCCAAATTGGAGCAAGCACAAAATGAATGAAGTGCTGGAAGTTTATACTTGGTAAGTAAACAGACCATGCTCACCAGTGCAGAATTCCCTGACCGTCTCACTACTTAAAAAGTTGTGATATGACAACTAAGTACTCATTTCCTGAAAAAGACTCACACTTCCTAAGAAAAGAAAACCACTTTCTTATACTTCCCACTTGTAGTAGTTCATGTAAAACTTAGAAGAACCTTGTTTCTGCTTTTTTCTGTTCCAAGTCCCCTTGATTCAGAGACTTGATGGCATTAGACAAAGGTGGCCATCTGTGAAAATTTTTTCTTCTATAGAACATGTAGACACTTGAGAAAATGTTTCTGTTGGAAAAATATAGAGGGAGAAACAGAAGTCTTAGGTGTGTGGCATATTTTGTCTTTAGCAGTTTGGAGAAATGGAAATCCAGAGATTTAAAAATCATAAATTGAACAAGTAAAATTCTAGCACAATGTAAAAATGGAATATGCATTGCTCTTAATTGAGCATAGTGACTTAGAGACACTGTCTATCAGATTTTTCAGTAAGACTGTAGACTTTATCATTGTTGTTCAGCTGCTGGGTCAAAACTCAGATAAGGTGAATTTTGTCAAGTTAATTTGCTAAGAAACAACTTCTAATACTCTTGGGAAAATCAAATAACAGATGTCAATACAACTGGTTCCTTTGTTTAACCATTTGGTTTGGGATAATATTACTTAATTGACTCTTAAATTAATGATTTGTTCTTTGAGGTATATGGTATGATACACTGAGGACTGTGCAAACATGAAGATGTGGTATCAAACTTCAGGTATAGATTGCAGAATTATAAATAATGATTTTGCAAAAGATTTTAGAAGCACATTTACTGTGATAAGACTCACTATTATTTTTTTTTCAGTAATTAGCTTTATTAAAAGTGCATTGTCATTAGTATAAATGGATAAATGTGTTCTTTTATTGCATTTGAGCCTTAAGTCTTGCACTTTTGATACTAAATTAAAAGAATCTTAAAATAAAAAGAATAAATGAGGCATTTGTACATGTACTAATATGGAATGGTTGCCAATAAATGTAAAGTAAAAATAATAAAGAGCAGGACAATGTGATTTTATTTTAAAAGATATTTATACTTGGTAAGCATAAGCTATCTCTAGAAGGATTCATAAAAATCTTTAAAATCTACTTGACTGTCTTTGAGAAAAAGAACTAGACAAAGGTGAGGGAAAATTTACTTTCCATTGCATATATTTTTACCTTTTGAATTTTGCCTTGTGACTAAGGAGTGACTTTCAAACACAAACTAAATAAATTTAGATAACCTTAAAAATAAGGAAATGCTATATTTCTTAGCAAAATGTAGCTATTTCTTGGACTTTCATCATAAAGTCTCCCCATATGGTCTCTCCTACATTTGTGACTTTAAGAAAAACCTCAATGCTGAAAACTAAGCTGAGCATGGTGGTGCATGCCTGTAGTCCCAGCCATTCAGGAGGCTGACCAAGGAGGGCTTGAGCCCAGGTGTTTGAGACAAACCCAGACAACATAGCAAGATGCAATATCTAAATAAATACATATATAAATTAACAAATACTGCAAATTCTCACATATTTATGTTCTGTCTTTTGAATTCCAGACTACTTTGTCTTGCAATTACCTGAATATCTCACAGACATTACAAGAATTGGCAAAACTAAGTAATTTATTTTAACTCTTGCCCTTCCCTCATAAACCTTCTCTGCCATTCTTCCTCCATCTCAGTAAACGATGTCACCTTCTACCTTTGTGCTCAAACAAACTATCTGGGAATTATTTTGGATACTTTCTCTTTAGCTGCATGTCCAACCCCCCCACCCCCCGCATTGAGTCCTAATGTTCATCTTATTTGCATATTTGCCATTTCTTCTCTGTGACCCTGCTATGTGACCATGTTAGTTATGCCATTATCTCCTACCTAGTCTCCACACCTCCCTTCAAACCTTCTCTATGTCATTTCCTCAAAAGCTTTTTTCTAAAGCCATCAAGTTCAAATTAGATTTCCCTATTATTTTACAAAAGGTGTCTATTTTTTCCTTTGTAACTCTTAATTAAGTTTACAATCACATGTTCACATTTGTGATTATTTGCATATAATCATTTTTGCCCAATTGTAATCTCAATAAGGGCAGCAGGGACTGTGTCCATTTTTCCAGGTTCCTATGTCCACAACCTAGCACAATGCCTAGCACATGAGTATGATTAATAAATTATTCTCAAAGGAATGGATCAACCAAAGGGTGAACTCTTACCCTGTATCAGGCATTGTGCTAGAGATGTTACTTATGGGAGATAAACGTGTTTTAGAATTGTCATTTGTCAATGGACATTTACCTCTAGGTACAGACAGATATAAAATGAGTATAAGAAGATATTTTCATGTGTGAATAGGGTATTTATGAGGAAATTTGTTGGCTAGGGCAGGGAAGGGGCATTACTGAGAGAATATATAAGTAAAAGGAAGAGACCAAGAGTAAGTTTGACTTTCCCACCTGTAAAATGAGGTGTGTGAACTAGGTGATTTGCTATGATCATAGGGTTCACTTCACAATTATTCTTAGAGCCTACTCTACAACATAACAACCCCCTAGATCATTCTTCTTAGGTATGTCAGAATATGTACAATGTCTGGGTGGTAGAAATAAGCATCCTATTTGTATGGTGCATGGGGAGGGCAAGTGGATGATTGTCTTCAGTTCTGGATAAACCCATTATGAGATCCTAGCCAGGGAGACTAGTCCTGCCAGCTGCACTGACCAAGCACCTCAGGCTGTCTATTGCTCAGCCCATACTGTGCCCAAGATGATAAGAATTATTCTTGAAACAAACAACAAAAAAATTAAATAAGCGACAAATCATATTTATTAAATAACAAGCAAATAGTTTATATAGATACAATCACTTGTCTGTTGCCCATGAACACTTCCCTTTCTCTTGTGAAAGATCAGTCCATGTGCCAAAGTGCAAGCTAAGCAGCAGTCCTTTTGAATGCCCTGTAAGGTGAAGATGACTGACAAGAAACAGAGCTCACACTTGAGTTCTGTCCTAATACTTGCAGGAGAAAACAAACCACTTCAATTCACAAACGCAGACGAAGAATTGTTAGCTCCAATTAAAATGCCCATATTGTGCCTTCTCCTTCTCTCTCCTAACAATTAAGCCAGCTGTTACTCTTCAAGATGTGTGTCACTTTCTTTGCATTTGGATCAAACTCCAACTGTGAAGATCCATTGAAGAAATAGAAAAACCCTGCAAATACAGACAAGAGAAACAGTGATATTTTTTTTCAAAAAAAGAAATTGGGCAACAGAGAAAACTCAGAAAAATAGATAACTGAAAATATTAAGCCTTTATACAGTTTTACTCTGTGCCAGGAAAAATACTAAGCATTTTATGAGATTGGTTTTCATTTATTTATACAACAGCCCTATAAGGTAAACACACCTAACTCCATCTTACAGTTGAGCAAGTAGAGGTTTGGACAGATACAGATGTTTGTCCAGGCTTACTCAACAAGGAAGGAAGGTGTCTGTATCATAGCCAAGTTCTATATTTTTAGGTTGTTCTGCTTCTAATCAGAAAAAACAAATAAACGAAAACACTCTCTGCTTGCTTGAAAACTATGATCTCTTGCTTGCTTGCTTGCTTGCTTCTTTCCTTCCTTACTCCTTCCCTTCCCCCCCCACCTCTCTCTCTATTTCTTTCTTTCTTCCTAACATTCCTCCTCCTCCCTTTCTCCCTTTCAAAACAAAGGCTACACTTCAGTGTTCTGAAAACATGGTACCCAGGTTATCTTTCAGTAAAGATCATCAACCTCCATTCACTTATCCATGAGTGAGAAAAAAATGCTTTTTAAATTATTATTATTATTAAAACCTTGAGTACATGAGAAGAAAAGTATTTGCAATGTGGTCAATCACAAATTTAGGCAAGACAGAGAAATATCCCTGGGAATTAGTAATAAAAACTGGATGAGACGAGGGAGAAGGTCAGCCAGGCAGTATTAAACCTGATCACATCTTTTGATGGGATATTTGCACTAACACATGGTAATGTGATAAAGTAACACCTGAGAAATTTGGTTTTTATATAAAGCATGTATAAAATAGAGGTTTGTGTTAATTATCTTTACGATGCAAAACAACTCATGTGAGGTAGTAATACAGTTGATACAGAGGTAGGTGAATTGAAATTTGGGGGAAGGAGGAGGGAACTGACTTTTAAAAACTCCTGGTATTAAAATTTATTCAATTCTCCTCTTCCCACTGATGCCATGGAATGTTTAAAGGCCCCTACAGTCAACAGAGTAAGAATCCTCTTACCAAATGCTTCAAAAACAGCGTCAACCTTCGAGTCCACCCCTGGAAAGTCTTCAGCCACCTGCCTGGGAAAGCCTGGCTCCATTGATTGGCTCTTCTCATCAAATCTGTACCAAGTAAAAGAAGACCAGCTCAGGATTGCGTACAGACTGTGTTAACCAAATTCATAAATCATATGGAATTCTAGTAAATTTCCCAAGTACTGCAAATAAACATCAAGCATATTTATCACTATAGAAATATATGACCTTAATAGCACTACCAACTTAGTTCTTTTTTTTTTAATTTTTTATTGTTGGCTGTTCAAAACATTACATAGTTCTTGATATATCATATTTCACACTTTGATTCAAGTGGGTTATGAGCTCCCATTTTTACCCCATATACAGATTGCAGAATCACATCAGTTACACATCCATTGATTTACATATTGCCATACTAGTGTCTGTTGTGTTCTGCTGCCTTTCCTATCTTCTACTATCCCCCCTCCCCAACTTAGTTCTTAAGGCCAAAGCTCCATCAGGAGCAGGTACAACACCCTACTATAGAAGATGCTGCTTATAATTTTTGTAATGGACTGTAAGGAAATCTCCTTAATTGTCTATTTATAGGCATGAAATTGTAAATAGATAAATGTACACACAGATACACACAGAGTGAATTTAATCATTTATCTGAAATACAGTCTCAAGTTCCCGACCATAATTGGTCTGTATATACCTGCCATCCCTCCTCACCCCACACAAGAGGAGTTCTGTTGCTGCCTCCTAAGAAAAGGATTTGAGACAAGAAGCAGAGCATGAAAATATGTTTTGGGCTCATGGGCTGGGCATTGTATGGTCTGCCCTGATATCTCAGAGTCTGGGCAGATGGCCTAGACACTAGCCTGTCTTCAAATCCTGAGTTGTATTCATAAAACAGGACTGATGTTTCTTGTTGCTCCTCAAGCAGGCAGAGATAATAAATGGGTCAATTTAAAGGAGTCCTTGAAAAGCATATGTAATGTTAGTAAGATAAGACAAACACGCCATGAGACAAAGATCAGCTGGTCTTGAAGATTTGAAGTTCAGGAGGGGAGGCTTCATGGGGGCAATAGGATTTGAACCAGGACTCAAAGAATGGGAAGGATCAAGTAGGAAGAGAAAAAATGAGGGACTCCAGGCAAGTGGGGAGCAGCGTAGAAGTAGAAGTGCCAGCCGAGCTGATGGAACACCACTCAGGAGAGCTGAAGCAATGTCTGCTATGAGGCATTGCCATGTGTCTGTGTCTGTGCAGGTGCTGGCCCACAGTGTCAGGAGCCCCCACCCTCTAGTGAGAGGGAAGCAGATCCAAGGGTAGAGTGGAGGGGTGATCTCCCTAACTGGGCTCTAGGCAAAGTCTTTCCTATTGCATCTTACCTCCAGTATTCACCCTCTACAAAGAAGTAAGTTTTCTTCTTTTCTTTATCAGAAATGGCTGCATCAATTTTCCTTACTGTTGGGGGGAAACCCAGTGTGTAGATGCTTCGTGGGTAACCAGCTTCTACTGCTTGTCCTCTGATGGCCCAGAACTGGTTTCCTATTTGTTAAAAATTCAGAGTCATATTGACTTTATAACAGTTAAAATTCTTTTAGTATTAGAAATACATTTGAGCACCTTAAAGATGAAGCTTAAGTTTTAGATTTAGTCTCCAGCTCCATAGCGGACATTTAACAAAAATATGCATATTAAAGGAATGAACAAAAATCAAATGAATGAATTTACAACCCTGGGTAGTTTATCTTCCTGTGTTCACTTTTTTAACCCCCAGATATAATAGAATAAGATTGATCTTAGCTATTTCCTCATAACCTTTAGCAACTTTAACAGCCAAAATTTGACACAGTAGAGAAAATTAATGTCCTATTAAGTTTGATTGTCAGAGAGTTTGTTTCAGGTTTATTTCAGTGTTTATATAATAATTACCTTTAAAAATGAAAACAGTATCCTTGCTAGTAACTTCATATGCAGCATCCACACTTGAAGGAAGGGATGGCCAAAACGAAGAGATCAGATGAAACTCAGGTTCCAGGGCCCTGAGAGATTTGCGCCAAAAATGCCTGAAATTCATGTTAAGAGAAGTGTAAATTGTAAAATAGTCTTTCATCTTTAGCACAACTTCCTCCCTGTCCCACTTTTCCCACTGTCTCCCATTCCTTCATCTTCTAGGTTAGATTCCAGATGGAAATCAGGTATATCATCATTGGAAAAGTAGCTTTACTTTTTCTTCAGAACACTGCAAAGTGTCTCCTGTCACAGATTTCCAGAGTAATGTCTTCTGTGAAAGGAAAGTTATCCTACCATGAAAACTAAGTGGCCCAGCGTAAGCTTTAACTGCCTGTAGGGCATGCAAAATGGTGTATACACCATGTTACCGTCCACACTTTTCAAAAAGATTGTGTGTGTGTGTGTGTGTATGTTGCTTAAATATATTCTTGTATATGCCTAGAATAATTCTGGGAGGAAACACAAGAAGTATTGACTGTAGAGTCATCTGGGGAAGCAAAAATGTAACTTTCATTTGGGCAGTTTGAATGTGTAGCATGTGTGTATATATCAAACTGTAAGCAAATTAAATGTAATACTTATCCTAGTGTCATTTTGAAAGGAAGCACAGATAAAATTCTGAATCTAAAGATCTACTTGTATCCTTTGAAAAGTAAATATGACTTAGAATGTCCAGGAAAAACAATTCAAGATCAAGAACCAAATCATCCTGAATTTTCATATGTGAACTTGACAATTTAGGAAAATGTGGAAAGGAGAGCACCAGATCTGAATGATTTGAAGCTCAGGGGAAATGTTTTTTATCTTAAATTTTTAATGTTTAAATATCTCTATCAAGTTTCTGTTTGTTTTCTTTCCTAAGCATTTTACATCAAAAGGACAGAGAGGAAAATATGATTTTCTGGCCTGACCTGTCTTTAAAGAATAGGATTTCTCCCCTGAGGGTGCTGACTGCGTCAAAGGACAAAGCAGGATCGCACATGGCTGGTGGTGAGCCTAGCCCAGACTCTGGTGAGCTAGACTTTGTGGGCACCAGGGGGTTCCGAGGGGGGTCAGCAGCAGGTCCTGAAGGAAAGAGTAAAGAAGGCAAACATGAGGGGAAAGGTGATGTGGATTTAGATGCTTTGCAAACATCCTCAAGGTGCTGTGAGCTAAGTCTCCAATACTCACATGGCATCGTTGGTTGCAAAGCTACGATAACTATTTTGACCAGCATCACTTACCATAGAGGGACTGAATGCCATCCACATCATCTTGAGAAAGGCGGAAGCGGGCCAGGTCTGTGAAGGATTTGTAGACTGGATACATCAAGGCTTCAGGGTTGGCCGAATGAAAGAGACCCAGGGAGTGGCCAAGTTCATGAGCAGCAACCAGGAATAAATTGGTCCCTACTTCAGAAATATAAAAATAGTTACTTATTCCCTAAATACATGTACATTATATAGGTAGCTGTGCAACTTATTTATTTCTCAGAACCACACAGGCACACAGGGCTCTTTTCGTTTTCCTGCCTTGTTCATTGATTAATTGTGCAATTAACTGATTACACATTTAATGGAAAGCCAAGTGTATTTCAAGACTCATACTTGAAATTAATCAAGAGAAAGTACCCAGGCACAATTTCCTCTCTGTCCCTCCCCAGCCTCAAGAGCCTTTTTACTCCTATGCAGATATGAAGGGACTTGTTTAGCATATCAACAAATATTTCTCTTGTTTGCCAATGAAAAGAGAAACACTGTTTCAGTGTATTAACATTTTCCAGTCACAGTCTCAGTTAAACAGATCACCCTGTATTCTGTTCTGGACTCCTTGAACAATCATACTCCTGTGGCTTTCTATTGGAATACTGCCTGCATAATTTTTAGCCTCATCATCATTACACACATACTGAGTCCAAAAAGATGAATTATGATAGATGTCATAGGATTTGCAAAATTGGTTTAAAGTATAACATGACCAATCATGTCTAGTGTTTGTTACAAAAAAGATTTTGGATATACAAACGTGGGCTGCATTTAGATTTTTTTCTTCATATTATATATTTAAAAACCCGCAATTGGAAATTGGAAAGCTTTCAGTAATTATGATTGACAAACAAGTAAGTATACTTTACTTTTTAAAGTATTGCTTGGGCAATTTGCAACCCTGGGAAAGTTCTCGTTTAAGACTGTAGGAACCTTACTTTGTAAGAAGATGTAAATTGAATCAAAACAAGAATTTCATATAGCACTAAACTCATATATGTATTTTCTCCAGATATTCTGTTTGTATTTTCATTATAAATGCAAATTAAATCTCAGAAGTAGAATTATTTGTTTCAGTCATTTTTTGGAAAACTTTGGAAGACATTCCCCAAACTATACCGTTATGAACTGAGAAAATTTCTTCCACCTAAATAGTTTGAGTATTGTATTGGGGTTGGTCCTTTCTTTCACAAATCCCCCAATAGTCTTCTTAACCTAGAAGTAGTAAAATGTTGACTGAGCCATAAAGAACAAAAAGAACCTAAGTTTCTGGAATTTAGTTTTGATTTATGTCTGAAAAGCACAGTTGGTGGGAGAAATTGCATAAACAATATCCAGGGCACCTTTTAGTGTAGATGCAATGCACTATACCATCTCTTGTATATCTGCTGTTAATAATAGTCCTCCTTAGAGCACAGACAATCCACAGTCATTTTAAAAAAAATAACAATGATATTTCCTATATTGAGCTTACTAGGAGAGGGAATAAACTTTTGGGGGGATGGGTATTAGGGATTGAACTCAGGGGCACTCAACCACTGAGCCACATCCCCGGCCCTATTTTATATTTTATTTAGAAATAGGGTCTTCACTGAGTTGCTTAGTGCCTTATTGTTGCTGAGGCTGGCTTTGAACTTGCAATCCTTCTGCCTTGGTCCTCCGAGCTACTGAGATTACAGGTGTGTGCCACCACACCTGTCAGGGAGTAAACTTTTAAACATACAAAAATTTGTTCAATAATAATAAAACAAAACTATATTCTGGGGGCTGGGGCTGTAATTCAGTGGCAAAGTGCTTACCTAGCATTTGTGAGGCACTGGGTTTGATCCTTAGCACCACATAAAAATAAACTAAGGCATGCTGTCCATCTAATATATATATATATACATTTTTTTTCCCTGACCAGGCAGAGTGGCACATGCCTGTAATCTCAGCAGTTTGGCAGGCCGAGGCAGGAGGATTGTAAGTTCAAAGCCAGCCTCAGCAACTTAGCGAGGGCCTAAGTAATTTAGTAAGATCCCCTCTCAAAATAAAAAATGAAAATGTGGCTCAGTGGTTAAGTACCAATGGGTTCAATCCTTGAGACAAAAAAATATATATATTACATAATATATATATTCTGTTGATCCCTAACCCAATGGGAAATACAGAACAGACATTTTCTTGATAATTCTAAATATAAAGAGAAATTAACACTCTATAACATGTAACACTAACCTGCTGTATCCTTTGTCCATTGCTCATCGTCATCGAAGTGAGCATCTCCATTAATCCCTGGCCCAGGTGCATAGGCATGAGCCAAAACTTGTCCAGGTCCATCAAAAGGGATAAAGTCTCCATGTTCTAAAAGGAAAAAAAAAATTTTCCTTTTAAAAAGATAGGCAATTATGATCTCTCCTGAGCCATCAATGAAATAGCATCTGATAAATACTTGCATTTCATTTGATTTTTTTTATTTTCATGATTTTTTTACCTCTAACTGCAAATGAGATCATTATGTCAGCCTCTCCTTCATGCATCCTGGAGAATGTGAGTGGAGTCACCTCCTCCCAGACTTTCAGAGCTTTCTCAATGGCAGAATCAACATCATCTCTTGGCAAATCCAGTGTGTAATTCACGATTCTGGATGAGAAAATGTGAAGAAAGTAATATTTTCTCCTATGATACAGCCAATTAAATTTCAATAACATGTGAGGACCTCTTTGGACCCATTACCTGTAAGTAAGGTGGTTTTTCCCCCACTTTGGCATGCCAGGAAATGTACTGAAGTGACCAATGTCAGGGACTCCACATCTGGGCTTGTTGATCACTTCCAATGTGTTAGAGTCCAGCTTTCCTGTCACTTCCAGTCCAAGGAACTTCTGCATTTCTTGGATTTTTTTAACAACAGGACTACTGTCCTTTCTTCTAACAAATTGTTTCCCATCATTTGCAAGGTTGTAATATTTTTCTAGGTATTGCTAGTGGAATAAGCATAGTTTTTTTAAAAAAAAGATTTTTAGAACTAGCTATTCATAGTAAAATTTTAGAGTTCCCCACTTTTCTTAATCTATTTGAAATACTTCTCTAGTTTGCTGAAATAATAAATGTCAAAGTGCATTTAATTCTTCAGTTAGAGACTTCTCCTCACCCTTGCTTCACATTTGTAACCAAACATCTCTGGAGCTTAGTTTGTTACTAAAACATGCAGGTGAAATAGACAACTGAGATAAATTTCCAGTGCCCTTAAATGAGAATTTTTTAAAAATATAACAAATAAAACTCTTTGAGCATAAATATTTTCAGGTTTCAAGGAAATTTATTCAATTTTCCACTTTATGCTTTTCATAAAGATATGCCTTAAGAAAAATGTTGGACAAATTTCCTTGTGCAAGCATATCAGCACTATAAATATTTAGGTAAAATTACATTGGATTAAAGTACCCACAAAGAAGTTCCAAGCAAGACATGGTTCATAAACTCTTCCCTTGCTATTCATGTTCCTCCAGCTGCTACTCCTGTGCTGCTATGTGATCCTGAAAAATACCCAATATTTCTAGGCTTTCTTTCTTCCAACATAAAAAAAAGAGTATCCCAAATGATGTGATATTGGGACCTCTTCATTCTAGTACTTTATAAATCTCCATCCTTGAACTCTTCTTATGCAGTAAGTCAAACCCTTCTGTGGGCAGCAGAGGTGGTTTCCCAGCTTGGCCCCCGCCAATGCATGTGAGGGCTATTTCCATTAGTTACCTGAAGAAGCTCCATGCTGGTGTCTGCGCCTCTTGAAGCTCCATTCAGTGGATAGGCTGAGCAAACTGCCACACACAGCAGCAGAACTGGGAGACTCCTCATTTCCAGTGGCTTTCCTTGGATCCGAGATGCCTTTTTGCCCTGCTCTCTGTCTACCTCCTGCTAAGTCCACGCTCTGCAGCTCAACATTTATAGAGTGATAGTGTTTGTTTAGATCACTCGCAGCTTGACTCATCATTACTTTCATCCAAATGGCAGCGGGACCATATCCAAAAATTCCGAATTCAAAGTAGGATGATATAACCTACTTTACTAATTTTTCTCAACCTTCCCAATTTTGCAAGGCAAAATGGTGATTAATCTCCAGGAAATGCTTCCTGTCGTGGCAGAAGAGAAAACTAGGACATTTTTTTTTTAAGATGGAAAAATTGACTAGAATTCACTGGCAAATTATGTTTGTGTTTGAAAGAGGTGGACTAACTCGTTAAAAAGTCAGAATCGTGCAGAACTTTTAAAAGCAGTTTTATTTTAAAAACATACTAAAATTAAATATAGTAAGATATAAGCAAATGAAAAGATGCATATACATAGCTGTAATCTATACTATATGCTATTATATTTTAAAATATAGGACATAATATCTAGAAGAAAATTCATTCTTTTTTTTGTGTGTCTTGAATTTGAAATACCTGCAATTGATTTCTGGTTGCATTTGCCAATCCCTAAAAATAGGAAAAGTTCATGGGAAAAAAAGAACAAAGATGGTCTATTAAAAAGAAGGAGGGAAATGCTTTTTGGGTTGGTTTTAATTATTTACCCAATTTATTAGTGAGTGGTGGAACCATAATAGCTGTTCCACAAAAACTTGTAGAATTGAAATGAATGACATTTCTCACCAAACTGAAATTCTATCTTTGTCTTCTACCTTATTATTCTATTTCAATTTCATTTCCTCATCCTTAAATTCAAATTAGTAGATGATTTGAAGTTGGAAAAAAAAAAAGACATCCTAAATTCTCTCTTCATAATTCTTCTTTTCTCTTCTTCTCCCCTCCCCTCCTCTCTCCTTTTCTTTCCCTTTTTTGTCAACTACAGTGTTGATCACATTATTGGTATATAATAAATGCTTATAAGAAAGATGTTGAACATTCTCAGGAAAAGTTTTTTCTTAAACATTTTAGAGTCCTCATCACCTGCTCTCACCCACTTCCCCGACTCTTCCCTGATCACTGCCTGTTTATTTGTTTCCTAAAATGTAGAACATTCTGGAAATGAGAACTAGGTAAAGTGCTGAATTAAAATTTTGTGCACCTAAGAGGTAATTAATAAGTGAAAGTTTTGCTTCCTCCATTTGCATTTTGTTTTATTTTTATATGCTTCTTAATAATTGTTGGAGAGATTTCACCCACTAAGTATAAAAGATGCAATTGGATTTCCCATTGGTAGTAAGAGTTCTAAAACTGGAAGTGTCCAAACAGATGCCAGATGCTCACGTGGCAGGAAGCCATATACAAATTTAAGCATCCATTTTTGGGTTAGATTCTACATAAAAACAACTCAAAACTAGTGTTCTAAACATACAACTCAAACAAAAACAAACCCTAGTGTTCTATGGTTTTCCATTCCTTTGGGAAAAAATTGGTATCTTGTCTGCATTGAAGTAAGGAGGAAATATTTGTCCACACTGATGGGTGGACAAGGTGGATGGGGGTGGTGGCAGAACCTATACCAAATATGAATTCCAGGAAGGAACAATGGAGCCAACCGGGGAAGGTAGTAAGAAAGCAAAAGCAGAAGGGTTACAACAACTGCAATGCAAATTCCTTCTAGATGAAGGCTTCTCCTTGCATTTTGCTGATTAAACTTGAAATGTCAATTCTTTAATGAAAAGGAATAATCAAATCAAAGAACAACTGAGTAGAACAAGGAAAAGGAAGAAGGAAAGAAGGGAGGGTAGGTGAATTTATAATTCAAATGTAGAAGGAAACTGTGAATATGAGAAATGGACATTTTCCACAAAAGAATAAAATGGCTATTCCATAAAACATCATTTATGGCATGGTTAAATATATATGAGGGACAGATAATGGCTGGTTTTATAAATCTGACTTCCGTAATCTTGGATTCAAATTTAAACTGATCCAAACTTGCATTCTGTTTGTCCAAGGAACATTCGATCTGATAAATCTTCACATTTGTCTTCCTGTTTACCATGCTTCTTCATGACTAATTAGACATGATGAAGCATGATCCTTGCCACAGCCAGCTGATATAATCATTCAGCTATATATTAATTTATCAAATGTCTGAATCTGAAAGTCTTTGGAATATCCCAGATCAAGAGTGTAGACTTAAAGAAAATCTTAAAAGAGAAATTTAGAAAAAGTTATAAATCAAGGTAAAGTTAATTTTAAATTAGTTTTTTCCAAAAGTGGGAAAGAGAACAGGAATGAGGAAACAAGGAAATGAAGGAAAGAAGGTTATAATCTAGAAGAGATAGTACCTATACAATTAGCTCTATAAGAGAGAAATCAAGAATTAGAGAAATACAAATTAAACCTACACTGAGATTTCATCTCACTCTAGTCAAAATGGCAATTATCAAGAATACAAGTAACAATAAATGTTGGCAAGGATGTGAGGGAAAAGGTACACTCATACATTGCTGGTGGGACTGAAAATTGGTGCAATCACTCTGAAAAACAGTATGGAGACTCCTCTTTAATATGGAAACTAAAAAGAACAAATAAAAAATTTAAAGAAAGAAAGAGATTGTACTGGAGTGAAGCAGAAAGTGTTTGCTTCAAGAGAAGACCATAGGTAAAGCAGCAAATGCGAATCCAGAGTTTAAACATGGAGGAAAATTCAGGAATAGAATAAACAGCTATGCAGAGACAAAAAAGAGTGTGGGGCTAGAGATGTTGTCCAGCTGTCAAGTGCTTACCTTGCATACACAGGGCCCTGAATTCGACTTCTAGCAACACACATGTACACGTGGAAAATGGCAGAGTTACTTTGTATTGAAGAGAAGGATCATAATGAAATATGAAAAAATAAAATTGTGGGATGATAGTTTGGACCCTGATGGTGTAAGATCATTAGTCTGCAGCTAAGGTGTTTAGAGTTCACTCTATTTTTGGTGGAAAGTCATGTTTCTACAAAATACAATAAAGTTTGATATACTTATTATAGAAAATTTAGAATATACTAAAAAGTAGAAAGAAAAAATAAATCATTTATAGTCATGGCACAGGAGAAAAACCTATTAATACCATTAATTATGTACTTTCTTCTAAATTTTTAATGCCAGCATATTATCTTTTACATCATGTTAATCATGGGAATTTATAAAATTTTATCTTTTTCCCCCCAAATTCTGAATCTCACTAGCCAGAGAAAAGTTTTAATAAGGCACTATATTTCATCTGATTTGAGGGATAAATCATATTGTTTACAGATTTTTTTCCCCACACGAGCTTTTCATAGTTGAACTCAGGCCATATTTGTTGATTTTTATGCCTGTTTTCCACAGAAACTTTCAAATATTCCAGTTGGAAGTTAATTAGAATAAAAAAAGGGGATCAGGAACAGATGATATCTGTACCTGGGTAGTTTAGGGGGTTTTTGTTGTTGTTGTTGTTGTTGTTTTGTTTTGTTTTGTTTCATGTGTAAAAGCACAATAGCTCAAGCTCTCGGGATTCCTGTCTTGGCGTGTGAGCTCTCCTCTCCCTCTTGTAAGTGTTCCTATCATGATGCCATTCACTCCATGATCCATCGAAGGAGGCCTCAGCAGGGCTGAACCCTTGCCTTTACCATACCCTCAAACTTCCTGAATTAATCCTTGAAAAATAGCCCTTCTCCAGATGGTGGGAATAAAGCTAATTCTCTTCAAAATAGAAAACATTTTGAAAGATGGCTAGATTAGCTAGAACTAGCCAAAACACCAAGAAAATATGTCACTAGTTTGAAGAATGATCCTTTAATTCTGATAAAAATAGCAAGGGGCACTCTGCTTCAGAGCTCACCTGAAAACAATGACAAAATGTGAATCTCTGTCAACACCTCTCCATAGTCTAAGGAAAGATGAACATTTCCAAACATTCATTCTGACAGCCAAAGTGAACATTCTGCTTCCAACTCCAAGGATGATGAAGGGGTTGCTGAGGAACATAATGCAGTCACGTCTAGTCAAAAGATTCAAGCTCACAACAGAGTAGTTCCAGCTCCTGTTTGCAAAGAAACATCTTCAAGAGAATAAAAAAGAGATAAAACAAATGATTTAGTTCAAGAATATTTTGAAGCTCATAGCAGTTTAGAAATTTTAGCCTTCGATAGAACATTGAAGAAGCTAAAGAGAGACAAAACCGGTCAGAAGTTTGTGCAATTTATTGAGCAAGATTCTCTTTTGTTGTCTGCTGAATGTGAACAACTAAATCAACACGTGAAAAATCATTTCATAAAAGGATGCTGCAGTTCTGTCTTGAGTTCTACATGGTACTTTATGATTTGGGTCCTAGGAGAAATTTACTAGAAAGGTTTTGAAACACCAGGCTGCAAGATATTACTACTCGTGCTGTCATCAATGTCTTCCTTCCCGGAGTCAGTGTGAGATCAGTCCTGAATTATATAACAGAAGAAATCTTTGACTGTATGTACTAGATCAGTTAGAGTGGATAGTAAACAAATTTAAAGAAGATTCCTCTTTGAAACTCTTTCTTCTCGTCCACAATTTGTATAGCCAAATGATGAGAGGGGATAACAGCCAGCATGTTAGTAGACAGTGCCACCTTTATGGAACATACACCTCATAGCATCTACCAATCACCTCAATGCTTCTCTCACATGGAATCATGCAAAGCAGAGTCTTTATAACTGGCTTGGGTGTGGCACTACGACACAGAGCCCTTATACAAAAGAAACCTCCTTGTAAGAATTCTGGTTAAATAATCTGTATCCCTATCACTTAGTTCCTGAATCCTGTCTTACAAAGTCTTACCACAACACAAGGGGGATTTTTTTCAAGCTACTAATGAAGTATCAGCTGGGTAACAGATGTCCTTCCTACGTTCTTTTCAAAACTTTCTTCTCAAAGTTCACTAGCAGTGTTGAGAGGCATTTCTCATCAAATAATTATCTGACACTCT